TGCCCCATCTGCGTTCAAATCAGATCCACGAACTAATCTGGCTGGATTCAAAGATTCGATACGATCCGCACTTTATGACATGAAAAATCTGCTTGTGAACTGAAAACCCTGTGAAAGGTCTTCTAGTCAACACTTGCTTCTGTCACTGAATTTTATTTATAGATTAATTTATATGTATAGATTAATATATTTGTGGATAGCGACGTATAGTGAAGAGTCTGGTGAAAAAAATCTAGTAAAATAAAGTTATTTTTCCACCTCAAAGTTCTCGTCCAGTTCCCACTGGAGCAGTGAATTTCACGGATCATCTCACAAATCTCAAGGCAGAGCATGCGATCGTCTATAACTGTAAGGCTCCCCGTAGGAAGAGGTACTCTGGATTGCAGCGAACAACCGTGTACATATTTATTTCACGTCAGGAAGTGTTAAGGTGGCCGGCGGTGAGCTAAACGTTGCTCAAGTGACTCCGCCTGCATTGATAGATGTCCTACGCGCTCTCCTGCTCGTTTGCTACTCGCTCACTGTCCTGTTTGAACTCTTAGCCGATATCCTTCTAACTTCGCCACCTACGAAGTTTTCGCTGGCTCATCGCTAAGCTTTCCTTGAAGTAACTTCGTCGTATTTCAGACGCAATCGAATGCGTAGCTTCCATATCGCGAACGATCTGACGTGAACCGGTATGTGACAAGAATCGTAATTTGCCGCGCTAATGGGCGTCGCGTGCGACGTCGCGCCCGCAAATGGCGATGGTTCCAGGTAGTAGATGGCGACAGGCAATTCAGAACCGAAAATAGTCATGAATGTCTACGATGACGGGGTCTACATGAAGTCCGGTGCTCCAATCGACAGGTTAACACGAGTTAAAAAACGCCGCGCCCATCGCCGCGCGCGGCTGGGCGGCAAATTACGATTCTCTTGCCCGTCTCCCGACGTGAACCAATGAAGCAGCAGTTTCGTAACATCCAGTTGCCACTAATGTAACGCTGAAGATCCACCTTGCGGCATCGGCGGTGTCTACTGCGCGTCCTCGCGCTAATTGATGCAACTTGGAATTGTAGCATTATGTCTCCACAAGCTATTAAATACATGGCATGGCTACGCGACAGGCGATGGCTGTTGAGTCCAGTAGAAAGAGAGGTACAGGCCTATGTATAAGAAAAGAGAGTCGGAACGGTAGCTCCGGATGCACCAAATGTTGGGATTTCCGACAGGTGGGAAGGTCGCACTTGGTTCTTTGAAGAGGGGGGGGGTTGCACTTGGCCCAGTAAACGTTCTTCTGATTACTAAACTTAGGCTGCGTTTATACTGCCGGTTTATACTTTGCGGCAGCGTAGCGTAGCGCTTCCAGCGTACGCCAGCGGCAGTGCTGGGGAGAGGATGCATATCGATCTAGCGTTCCCAGCGTCACCAGCGTCACGCTAGCGTACGCTAGCGTACGCCAGCGTTTCTCCAGCGTTTCACCAGCGTTTTGCTAGCGTTTGCAGCGGCAGGGGAGTAGAGACTATGGGAGAGCTGGAGGGTACAAAACACATCGATTGCGCGTCTCTCACTCGCCCTCAGTCTCTACAATACACATCGCTTCATTGCCAGTTCCGCGTCTCTGACGGCCACATAGTCTCTACAATACACGTCGATTCCGCGTCTCTTACGGCCACATAGTCTCTACTCCCTGCCGCTGCAAACGCTAGCAAAACGCTGGTGAAACGCTGGAGAAACGCTGGCGTAACGCTAGCGTGACGCTGGTGACGCTGGGAACGCTAGATCGATATGCATCCTCTCCCCAGCACTGCCGCTGGCGTACGCTGGAAGCGCTACGCTACGCTGCCGCAAAGTATAAACGCAGCCTACACGTTACACGCTTGCTATGCATATCATCCCCATGGCCAAGTGCCACCGCGAAACTACAATTTCTACTAGTTGCCACTCCCCTCCCCTTGCTCAACGGCAAAGTTTTGGGAAAGATTTTCAAGTTGAACGGTCGCTTGTAGAAGAGGGGGAGAGGGGTGGGAGAGAATGGAGAGGGGTCGTATTGAGCAAGAACTCCATCAACCCCAAGATTTGCTGTGAAGGTAATACACAGCCGGACACCCCTTCTTGCCCCCGATATGAACGGAACCATTTTTATCATGGTACCCTTGATATTGTCGCAATCGATCGGGGCGCTGTCGAGAGATATGGAATGAGCTTAACCCCAGCGTTTTCACCAGTAGCTCTCTTCTTCTTCAATCGGTCACTAACCCGATCCTGCTCCGACTGATTGGGTTGATATCAACTATATAACCTTTCATTTCAATACAACCTAACATAACATAACACATAACATTTCAGGGAGAAAAGGTGTACATCATTTATTTAATAGCTTAGAATAAAACGAGAATGTTACATGACAAAATTAAGTAATAATATTGATTAATGTTACAACGACATGCACAATGCACGGAGGATGTAAAATGACACAAGACGATGCGTGCGGACGCGGCGCGAGTTTGACTTGGATTAACTTACGAAAAAAGCAGCATGAAACACAGTCCACAGTCGTCTCGCTATCCCGCTGCTCTGTTGTGACAAAAATCAGAGGAGGCATTTTTTATCAGTCGCTCAGCAATGGTTCTTTACCTAGTGCGGAATATGACCCCAGCGGAAACCGCTTTTCCTCACCTGTCCATATTCATCGGCTAGACTTCTTAAATGGGGACTCCTTTCTGCGGTACAAAATAGTTAAAGCATTTAAAGCTGCTCAAAATTCACCGAATCAATCAAATCACAGAGAAATCACAGATATAGACATTTTCTGGAATAATTGTTAGATCCTAACTGATAGTTCCATTTCCAATGCTCCTTCCCATGAGCTTCTTCACCCATTCGATGGGAACCTTTTCTTTTTTTATTATGCGTTTGGCAGCATCCGATTCGATAATGGCGATATTTTCAGAAGCAAAAAGCTCACTTGTTTCCTGCACGCCTTCCTTGGACAGTCCTTTGCTGAAAAAAGGTATTTTTCAAACTGTTAGAAACAAAATGCATGAGCATAAGGGTTCCAGACAGAATGCTTCAATATTCGGCGGACTTACAGTCAACCGAAGGACTGGTGCTATAGAATGGAAGATTTCTACGATGTTCTCGAATATTTCAATTTCACTTTGAATTGAACGCTTTTCAGATCAAATTGGACACTTTCTTATTTCAAAATGGACACTTTTTTGTATTGCACACACACCCAATGATGACGAGCGCAAGGCGAAGTTGTTCCGCTTTTAGAGCCAAGCCTTACCGCTGCCCTTTACAGGAAACCCGATTACCTGCAATCTCGTACCACGCCGCTTAAGAAGCCAAGTTTGTTGGCGTCACTGAGGGTATGTCGCACACAGATATCGTAGGCAAGACCGCAACCGAGCACCGCCGTGATACCACTAGATTCCAACAGTTTTTCCAACTCACATCTAAACATAGATGCAATGAATATTAAGCTGATTCTCTCTGGGATTTGGGACGTCGTACTTTTGCCGTGAGGGAGGGGGGGGGGGGCGTACCTTTTGCTGTGGGGAGGGGGTTGTACTTTTGCTGTGGGGAGGGGGGGGGTCGTATTTGTAGGACAAATTTATTTTAGATAGTTGTTTTTTTCTTGTGGAAAAGGGGGGTATTAATTTTTTTATGTGCACTATATGCATTTTTGTACGCCCGTGGGATATACGTTGCATAGTTATTATTAGGTTGTCCGGAAAGTTCTTAGCGTTTTGGGTGTTTAACTTTAAACGATCATAACTTTCTTAACACTCATCGGATTTAATCCAAATAAGCACCATTCGAATCAGCACACTTTTGCCAATGTGGCAGCAGTCGAGAAATCCCATCAAAGAAAAACTGGGTGGTCGAGAATCCACGAAATCTGCGAAGGTCTTTTTTGCCTGGTCCTGTTTGATGAAGTATTTCTCAGCAGGAAAGTTCTGAAAATGTCTGAAAAGGTGACAGTCGGTTGGTGAAAGGTCTAGAGAATATGGTGGGTGAGGTAGAACTTCAACTCCCAATTCGTTCAATTTATGGATAGTGATTTGTGAAACGTTGTCATGCAAAAGAATCGGACCCCCCCGCCTTTCTTTTTGATAGTGTTGGCTGCAGCTGACAATATTTTCGGTACATTTGGTCGGTTTGTTCACAGTAGGGTTCTGCTGTGATGGTTTGGCCTGGTGATGAAAAGTTATAGTGGATTACAACAGCCGATGACCACCAAACCTGACCAGAATTTTTTTTCGCGAGGGTTCGGCTTTGAAAATTACCTCGGTGGTTCCTCCAAATCCAACCACTGTCCGGAACGTCTCCTGTTATCATACATGATCCATTTTTCATCACAGGTGACAAATCCGTTCAAAAACGGGTCAATTCTTTTGCGCAAAAGCAGTGAAGAAGGAACCTCGAGACGTGCCGATTCCTGCCGGTCACTCCGATTGTGGGGCACCCAATTGTCGAGTTTTTTCACCTTCCCAATGCGTTCCAGACCATCTGCAACAGTGGATTTGCCAAGGCCTAGCTCTTCTGCTATCTCTCGAACTGTTTGGGATGGGTCAACCTTCAAAATCCCCCTAAAATCCTCGTCAGATATTGCTTTAGGTCGACCGCTATGAGGCTCACCTTCAAGGCTGAAATCTCCAGAACGAAATTTATTGAGCCATTGCCGCACAGTGCTTTCTTTAGCACTATTGGGCCCCACACACCTGGTTAATTTGTTGAGCTGTTTCGATTGCGGATTGCCCCAATTTATAGCCGAAGAAAAAAATCGTCCGAAGTGCTCTTTTCACATGCTTGAAAAAATCTTGAAAAAAGAGGGTTTATCAAGCAATGGTGAAACGGCAATTATACCATCAGATAGCGCAAGAAATTCTCTACAGGATGTGCTACTGAGAAGCAAGGCAGAATGAGTTTTTAATCAGCAGTGAATGTACAAAGATTAGGTGCACAAAACGCTAAGAACTTTCCGGACAACCTAATAGTTACTCCTACCCCGCTGGGCGGTTTTCCCGCCGACTGTATACACTCGTGGCTCGGCCGTCGGCGAAGAAGCCGTGGAGGTGGAGGAGGGGCGTCGTGCCTGGTTCCATCGAAGGGGGGGGGGTCGTACTCAACCGACATTTCGCACATTTCCTTGCTGTACCTTGTTTGGGCCAACGAGGTAGTTACAGCGATTTGCACCAGCCGGCCCAAAAAGGGTGGGAAAATTCCATCTCGCTGGGTCTAGTTGCACATAAGATTCACCGGGGTTCGGTGTACTTGATCCATACATTTTATTCGAGCTGCTAGAGATTAGAGGCCTAGTTAAGGTGTGGAGCGTTACATCCAGATTGCGGCATCACTGTACGAATTGGCACGGAAGATGAACTTAACGCGCGGCGTTGCTCTTTTCCAGCATGGAAACGGCGCTGCGCGTACTACACGTCGGCTCGTACTGCGATATCGCGACTGCGATGAATCGCTCCACATCCCAACTCCATTTGATCACGTGGGAGGGGGGGGGGATAGTGTTGAAACAGGTACTGTACATGACCAGTGAAAAAACCGGTAGAAACTCACAGTTTATCGCCGTTGTTGTCGCTGAATGCCGAATAAGAATCAACAAAGACTTGGGTTCCTTTTCGGATAAAGGCTGCATCATTTGGAATCGTAACATTAGCATGAATTTCAGCTCCCCACGTGTTTTTAACACAATGTCTCGGGTAGAGTACCTAAAGTAGCTTATTGGTTCTTCGCTGGCCACTGCTGGAGGGCGCAGATGAAATACGGCGATTACTGATGCATGTGTCAATTTATTTGTGACTAGCAGGCCTTGACTGAGGAAGGATTATTACGTAAAATAGACTCCTTATCCCTGAGACGGAGTAGGCGTGGCTTTTGAGCATGGCATAGGGCGGGTTACTCGTGGGATACTTCAATTTGAAACAACTGCTATCTTGTTCTGTGTTAGATGTAGACATGATTACGACTGCTCCAAAATGAAATATCTCACGAAAACCTGGGCCGCCGCCATTTTAAAATCAAGTACGCAGCCACGCCTACCCGATCTCATGGGATTCCGAGTATAACGTCTGGGACTCCCTGAAAAGCCCACATAGACAGCAATAGAAGCTAGGCCTAGCCAGGTACATTTGAGGTATTTGGATAGATAAGAGGAAATTCCTCCGGTGAACCACTGCTGCAACCGGAGCTTGTGGGACATCTACAGTCGTCATCCGGGCAGTTGATTAGGCAGCCAAAGGGTCGCAAAGCGGCTGCAGCTCGTCACGACGACCAAGTGTTTTCAGCCCGGTTTAGCCAATTTTCCCCTAGTTTTCACTGTATTTTCTATTTTTTTTCTGGGTAAGTTGTGTTACTGCCTTTATGAAGTGTGTAAGGACGCGAATTTTTTTGTAATAAAGTATTTTTGCGATTTTTTGGAACTGTTCAATTGTTTGTTCAACTGGGTTCGCAAAATTAGAGAAATCTCAATCATAATTTACCTTGTGAAGACAAGGAACAACTAACCTCAAGAAAAGCAGCCAAAAACAGTGAAAATTAGGGAGAAAATGGCTAAATAGGCTGGAAACAGCTGATCGCCGCGGTCGTGACGCGCCGCAGCCGCGTCGCGACCCTTTGGCCGCCTAATCAAGTGCCCGGATGGCGACTCCAAAAGATCACTGTGCGATGGGCGCACCGGCCAATCTGGTATAAGCGATATCAGATATATCCAAGCACATCGTTGCACAAGCTCGTAATGCTGGCAAGGTATAAAGCAGCTCCATGGCCAATTAGGATCTAAGTGAATGGCGTCTGAGAAAAAGGCACCGATCAGTTCTGCAGGAATGATGGACTTCACGAACGCCTTACCTGCTTCACTGGAGGACTTCAAATTCAACTCGGTTGAATGCCTTGAGATCACCATAGGACTTATCCTGTGCAATTTTCCGATCAGAATCTCGAGCAGACTCAACGAATGAGATATGATTAGGTGGATGCCAATCCTGTAAAGTTCCCACTGTTGCTGTCTGTCTTCTGCCAACACTTCACATTTGCATGAAGTGCCATTCCTCGCTAATAATATGGGCGGAGTCAGTATCACCATGTATCACCACTGCCTCCCTCATGGGTGCACTTCTCCCATATCAAGAGGAAGTTGCAGTGGTAAAAATGAGTCTTCACGTATGATCAGCTCCTAGTGTGAAGGCCAAAGTGCAATTGTTTGGAATGACTGCAGTTTTCCCCAGTTCTTTCCAAGATATGAGGGGAGGTACAGTCCTCATCATTGCAGACCGGTGGGGCGGGTGAGCCGCGCTGCGTGTGACTCGGCTGTGACGCGGCAGCGATGACAGTCGCGTCACAGCCGAGTCACACGCGGCGCGGCTCACCCGCCCCACCGGTCTGCAATGATGAGCACCATAAGAGTAAAAACGTACCAAGCTAAAAACTATCAAGTCTGAGTCGTTTTCGGAAATCAAGTCGTTCAGCGGAGCAATCGCTTCTAAGGGATTCTCGTTGGCGCTTCCCTTCCTGAAAGTACAGCTCTTCTGAACAAGTAGTGAATGTGATTTCATCCCAGTACTATGTCTTTCGTCGCTACATTTTATGACAACGGCTACCTTTTGAAGTTGCCCAATGAACGAGTTTCCTAACTCTCAAGAAGCTGTGCCAATCAATTTGATGCTTTTTGTCTCTCATTCTTCTGCTATAGTTCCACCCTCTCTGTCTTCAAGACAATTACTGTATCTCTTCAGCCTTCCTTGTTTTTGACATAGCCACTTTGAGAAAAAACTGATGGCTAACCTGAACTCTGAGTGATCCACTGATGAAGTCATTCTGAAAATCGACCACTATCAGTGCGACTTTTAGCTTGCTGAGTTCTTCAAAAATTGCTCTCTGGATCCGCTGCAGATCATTTTCCTCTATTCGCTCTTTTGAACTCTGCAAATGCGGAAAATTCAGAAAAGCGTTCTGGTATGCTCAAAGAATCACGCACAATCTTGTTCACTGCGTATGCTGAGGGACGTCAGCGGGGCTGGGTTTGACGCGACGCCAGCCTGTTCTCCACCGACTGTGGAAGCCGGCCACCACACCTGGTGGAGACGAGGCCGGCGCCGCGCCGAACTCAGTCCCTCAGTATTTCTACATCTCAAAACTATTTGTTCCTCAATAAAATTACGGTCGCTCCAACGAAAAAGCGATGACATTTTGTGACTTCAAAGATTAGCGACAAATGTGTTCGCTGTGTGTACGCTTAAATCCACAAAATTATATTGACTATTGGCTTTATCTCCTACAAAACCTTATGCTGCAACGGTCCCTTTAGAGCGCCTCTTATCGCACTACTAGCGACTTCGTGAGAACTGTTATCACCACTACCCACGTGTCTGCTGATAACATTTCTTGGAAATTTTTCTTCTGAGAAGAACCATTCTATCAAAGCCACCACAAAAGCTCGTTCAAATTACTCATTCCAGAATGGTGGCCGCAGCTTATCTAATGGCTCAACCTCCCTGTGGGTTGATCTCAGATCTTCTTAGTAGTAGAGGTTGATTCCCGCCTCCGCAGGGATGGGTGGGTGTATCCGATTACCTCGCTGCGCGCGACGGCGCTTTTGGAGAGATATTGTCGTTTTACTGTAACTGCGGCCACCTCATCAAGAAGTGCGAAAAATTCAATAAAATTATGCAGGACATGACGATTCGATGATATTTTCTGTGACACTCTGCCAGCGCCCTCATCTATAATTTCCTTGAAAAAGGAGTTGACCTTATAAGAAACTAAAGTATAACAGATGAGACCAACTTTCACGGAAACAACCGGCTTCAATAGGAAGTGACTCTAAAGTCCTCACTTCAGAGAGACGTTTGACTGCATCATAAATATCCCGTTCGTTGATCGACACAAGTCCATCTGAATTGTCACCGAAAATTTCCTTCGCGGACCATTGAGACATGCGAACGATCTGAGGTAGAAAGGCTTTAAAAATCGGGCCTTGAGAAAAAGTCGTGAAAAATAGTGGGAAAAAGGTGGTGAGGGTTAATGCATAAACAATGCTCTGTAGTCATCATCCCTGCAAACGACAGAGCGTGTGAAGTGGTGC